CACCGCCCCTGCGCATGCCCTACCCGCCCCTTGTAGTGCCGCCCCAGCCCTGCGTCCTCCCCCGTGTCCATCCCTGCCTCCTCCCTCCTGCCCCACTCCGCCCACTGTGACCGCCGTCCCTGCCGCCACTTTCCCCCATCGCAAGCCACCACCCCGTCATGACATCGCAGGTCGTCGCCTCTGCTTCTTCTCAGTACGGCCGGGGGAGCAGCAACAGGGGCACACGCAGGCGACCCGTTCGTCTCAGTCTCAGCGGAAGCAGCACAAGAAGAAGGACCGCAACCCGCCATCGCAACACACATCCCTCGCCAACTCGGTCAAGCCATCACAGCAACATCAGCAGCAGGGCAAAGACAACGGAGGCACACAGGAGACCATGGTGGAGCGCAAGGGAGGGGGGGGAGAGGGACACTGTCAGAGAGAGGGACAGAGAGAGTGAGAGGGAGAGTGAGAGGGAGACGGAGAGGGGCTCCTCCTTGCCTTCGAACTCGCCGAGCCTCAACCAGAAGCGACAGTCACGCCACCAACGGCACCGCGTCATCATCACCATCTCAACCCGTCATCCCGACCATCATCACCCACGCCGGGCCTGAAGGGGCAGGGCGGCAAATTCGACGAGTGTGTGGAGGCCATCGACAGCAAGGCCAAGGGGGGCAAGTGGGAGGGGGTCATCGAGGCCTTCTACCGCCTGCGGCTGACGGAGAAGCTCCACCTCACCTCATCCGCACTCACACAGCTTCAGAGACGCACACCGCCCGGATCGCCCTTCTCGCACAGGGCATCCTGAAGTGCTCGTCATCGTCAGGCGGCTTGTCTGGGAAGCTGTCGGACCTCAACCAACACGACACCACCACAGGTAGCGAGAAAGAGGAGGACAGCACGACCAAGGACAACAAATCCCATGAGAAGGGAGAGGATGACGAGAAGAAGCCCCCCCAGCCCCTCTCAGGAGCACCCCGACATCCAGCTTATCGACGGCCTGCTGCTCGACTTCATCCGGCGGCACACGGCATGCCTGGACTGCTAGGAGCCATCTCCCCACTGAGCGTCAACATCAACATCCCTCTCACAGCCATCCAGAACGTCTACCTGCTGGACTGCCACTACGCGGGGCGCGTCATCGAGGCGCTGGACCAGTGCCACGGCCCTCAGGCGATTCTCGTCACTCCGACGGCAGCACCAGGGTCCACCCTGTGGGGCGGGAGGATCCGCCGACCCTCTGCTGATGGGCTCCTGGTTGGAGGTGGGGACATGTCATCCACTGGCGGCACACCGCTTGCAGCCACGAGGACGTCTCCTGTGGAAGAGGGCAGTTACTATGCCTTCGGTGCGTGTGGGTCTGACCAGCGGCTGACGGTCCACGAGCGGACTCCATTCCCCGTGGACTACTTCACCTCGTGCATGACGTCGCCTGTGCGGGCCGCCCTGGCGTTTTATGCCGCCAAGGGCAACCGACTCACCTCACACATCGACGCGAAACTGCTCGATGACATACCCGTATGTGACGCCCAACACACACCCACGGTGCACGTCTGCAGACACTCAACCACCCCTCTCTCTATATGTGTGTGTGTCTCTCTCTGTGTGTGTGTGCAGGGCCGCATAGATCAGCGCAACACCCCTCTGGGCGAGTTGCAGTGGATCCTGACGTCGATAACTGAGGCCATCGCGTGGAACACATTTGACCTGGCTCTGTTCCAGCAGCTGCATCGCACCGATCCCGCCATCGCGACCCTGTTCCGCAACTTCCTCGTGGCCAACCGCATCCTGAGGTCCCTTGGGCTGACCCCCGTGTCGCGGCCAGTGCTGCCTGACACACACCTGCACCCCCTCTGGGATGTGTGGGACGCTGTTGCCGAGCACGTTGTGCTCCAGCTGCCGACACTGATGCAGCACCCGGAAACTGCAGAGGTGAGGGCGGCCAGGTTGCACACGATCCAACGTTGGTTGGGTCGGTACACAACACACATTGGTAGACAGGGACAGACAGGGGTTGCCGTTGGTGTTGCTGGCTGCAGGCCAACTATCGTCCGAGTGCCTTCTACGAGCAGCAGATGCTGGCCTTCTCTGTGTGGCTGCGGGGCAGCGACCGGGACGACACGACCACACCCCACCACCACTTGCCCCCCTTCTCACAGCACATGATCAACCAGCCGGTGGCGGCATCGGCGGCAGGCCTCACACCGATGCGACGGCCGTCCGTCAGTGACCAACAGCCGGGATTCGACATGGGTGGGCTGGCGGAGAGTGCGTTTGCTCACCAGCTGCTGGCGCCTCCGCCGAGGCCGCCAGAACAGCTGCCGATTCTCCTGCAAGTGCGTGTCGTTAGAGAGACAGATAGACTAACACTGACTGCATCATATGTGCTGTGTGTGAATGTAATGTGTGTCGCAGAGTTTGCTGCGTCAGCGTGGTCGCGCCGAGACGCTGCGGCTGATGACGGTGTATCTTGACATGGGGCCTTGGGCTGTCAGATGCGCACTCATCGTCGGGCTGGTGCCGTACCTAACTCAGCTGCTGTCAAGGCCGGCCGTGCCCACAGACGTACGCCTAAACGACAGTCAGACAGACAGGCACACCAACCAACACACATTCATCATTCAGATCAGAGGTGATGCCTTCATGCTCCTGCTGGCTGGCTGGTTTGTTTGTTTGTCAGGTGCGTGAGTTGATCATATTGTTGTGGTCAAAGTTCCTGGCGTACGACCCCAGCTGCCGCAAGGAGGTGCTGCA